TTAGATATAACCTTATTGAGCCTGGCACAGGTTAAAGCAATTTGCGAATAATGTATGCTAACCAAGCAGCAACGCGAAGAATTTTATAGGCTGTTTAAACTTTAATTAAGGCTAGAAGCAATGATCGTGACAAACAAGAGCCACGTAGCTAGACAACTAGGTATAAACAAAACTCTATATACATGTTACAGTTTTTTTGTTAAAAATGGAGGCGTGAAACAAGAAGCTGATCCTACCTTGAGTTGCATGTATTCTGTCAATCATGGACACTATGGACATATAGCTTAGTGGCAACGTGGTGTTACTCGGTTCCATATCCTGCTAAGAGAACAAAATAAATCCAGTTGTCTGGCGTTGCTATAGCCAAAAGACAATCAAATATCTACAGAGACTAGCAACCAAATTATATCAGCCTCAAGGTGGGAGGATAGATGAGAAGCATCAGATGAGCAGGTTAATTATAAAAGAAAGACCAGTTACAGTACCAAAAAGTATACACTAAATAAGTGCCTCATTACTTGAAAGATATCAGGGCTTAAGGAAATGCAAGGTACATAATTCAGATTGGAAAGCATACTAGCTGGAGATGAAGCTTACTTGTACGATCAAGAGAAGAGATAGTGTAAAGCGGGCAAAAATAATTAACTTTGGGGGCATGGTGGTTACGAAACTAAGGAGACGAGTAAGCACAACCATCACATAAATTTGGCATCATGTCCCAAATTTACTAGAAATCCACTTGAGATACAGCAGGCGTGTAAACAAGTCAGAAGCTGTACTAGGGCGGCAACGTATTAAGAGAGTAAGTAGATAGATGGGCCGTGACAGAAAGAGAAGTGATAGCGCAACTGTTTCGGCAAAAAGTTTGGTCAAGAGATAGACTTCACTCGTCTCTTTGACGTATAGTAGCTTGGTGCTGAGAGTGGCAAGACTCATTCATGATGCCGACAAAACGTCTGAGAATGTACCAAGTCCATGGCCTGACGCTGGGAATTATAATAACTACTATCACAGAGGACTTCGGACAAGGTGCGTCCAACTAAGTCGCCCTGACAACAAAACCAAGTTACGAAAACGAGGTCAACCCACTTCTATACATCAAAATAAGACTGCGATCATATAGAGGGCCACACCATCTTGGTCCTCATATCCTCAAAAATAAACAGATTTGGGATAGGCAAACTTTGTGAAAAATATTCTTAAATTTGGAGATGTCCAAATGGCCGTTGAAAGAATAGTCAATACCAAATAATTTATTTTCCACAATTAATAGCAACAAATATAGCCGATCAAGTATGGAACAAGAGATGAAAAAAGAACAGCAAGTATAAGGCCAACCTGCCGAAAATCTGATTAATTGAAAAACTGCCTGGCATTAGTGAATTCAAGAAATGGCTTCTATAACATTTCTAAAAAATTGCTTGATAAAGTAGGCACATTCAGATCTCAAGGACAAATAAAATAAATCCCCGAAGAGGCTAACCGTTTTGTGAGACATTGACAAGAAGCCGAAAAATACCAAGAAGACAATCGAGCAATATTTTCTGATCGGGTTTTTGGGCAGGCAAGATTGTCTGGGAAGTAACATGACTGGTGGCAAGAGCATCTTGCTCCCGTCCAGAATTGGCCGTTGAAAAAGGCATGGCCAAATTAGTTGATTGCACATCCGAAGACTGTCCATCAGAGCCTATAGCTGTTAAAGAAGCGGTTGCAGCAGTTGCAGAGTTAGTTTCGCTTGAGTTTAGTGAGACCGAGTAATAGGCAGAGGGGGCCAGGTGTCTGGGCAGGCGTTGAGCGCATAGGCGAAGACAGCTGATAAGTTTGATTATTAGTGATCGGTCAGCAAACCGTACTAGATGGTTTTGGTTATCATTATCCATGTAAGTCATCTGACAAGAGGTGGCGATTAAAACAATGGAAAAGGTAAACAAATTTACTTTAATACTGGAATATACTTGAGAAAGCTAGTAAAAAAGGGTATAATGAATGAACGAAAATAAACAGAATCGAATTTGTGCATCAAATATGGCTTTAGAAAATAAATATACAACGATTTTGAATTCGAAGACTAATTGATTAGAAAATAAAAACGTAATCTATATGAAGCAAAATTCTCAAAAATCTCTTCAGTTTCCTGTTCATTATTTTCATTGCTTCAGTGAACATCCTTTTTTCTATATTTTTATCGCAAGGCCAATATTTCCCTTGCATCCAAATCAATTATGTGGTCCGGTCGGCGTAAATTACTCTACTATTTCTGATCTCTCCATATACCCGATTCTATATTTGATGGTATTCTGTAATTTTTATGTTGGTTGTGGATATAAAGACCAAATTAGTGTTGCCCTCTATTTAGCCGCACAGTGCTGGATTGACCTCGTTTTTGTTACTTGGTCGGAGGATCAGGGATACCTGGTG